ATTATATGCAGTTCTGTTCTGTTCTATTGTGTTCTATTATGTTCTATTGTATTCTACTGTATTCTATTCTAATCTACTCTAACACACAAACAAGGAAAATAAGAATTAAAGAGATTAATAAAGAAACAAAACAAGATATTAGCTTCTTATAACTCTTTTGGAGAAACTGACACTTGGATAAAAGATTAACAATCAGATCAAAAACACAAAGAAAAAAGCAACTAAAAATTTTCAATGAGTGAGTGAGCAAGAGAGGAAAGAAAGTAGATGAAGGGATTATATATCTACGACCAAATGTCATGCCCAAGTTTTACATCAGGATTAATTTATAAGAAATGACAGAGTTGTAGCTGTTTTTGCCAAACTTTGACAATTACTTTCTGACAGTTTTGTCAAAAAGCAGCCCAGTGCTTCATGAGACAGATAAACAAACACATAAAAAGCAACAAAAACATCATCATCTTCCTTCCCCTGTCAGCTGTGGGGGGTGACGATAAYGGGATAACGACTCACGCTGTAGTTTGTGGTAAAGTTGGGCTGTGTGTTTCACAGACTGGAAGAAGTCATCCACTCAGCAGCAGAGGGAGCAGCTGCTCCTCCAGGAGCTGGTGTCTCTGGTCAACCAGAGAGATGAGATCATCAGAGACATCGACGCCAAAGAAAGAGGGTGAGTGTGTGCCTGAAGAAAAAAATCGAACCGGCAGTGTTTAAGCAGTGAGGTGTATAAAAATACTTGCAGGTACATCATCACACGGTTCAACGCTGAATGGCGTTTTGTGTTTTCAGGGCTCTGGAGGAAGACGAGCGATTGGAGCGAGGACTAGAGATGAGAAGACGAAAATTCAGCAATAAGGACAAATGTGTGCTGCAGTGAAAAGGACAAACACAACTAAAACAATCCTCCATCTGAGACAAAAAAAAGAAAAGAAAAAATGTTCCTGTCAGGACACTGGGCGTTCACGTTTTAGTGCCTTTTCTCTTAGATTTTCTTTTGTTCTGAGACTGTAAAATTTGTGTTCTTCCAAAGTTACGTATATGTCAGAGTTTTATTATTTCAGTTCTAGTATTAATATTTATTTATTGAAATGATGTGTGTTTTTTTGAGACATTTATTGCACTTGTGTTGTTTTGTTGCATGTTTTAGTGTAGTTTCTTTTATTCAGTACTGGATTCGTGTTCTGTCCTTCTGGTTGATGCTGTTCCAGTTTCTCGTGCACTTAAAAAAAAGCTTTTCGATACAGGGCAACGGGTTTTTTTTTTTTTTTCAGAAATAGTTCTCAGTTGCTCATTATCAAAGCACATAAAGGAGACGTGTTTTATTCCAGGTGATAAGCCTTTCCCCTCAGTTTCAACCTAAAATGTAAATTAGTTAAGATTTCACGACTCCATATTTGCTCGAGCTGGACTCAATCCCACAATGTTTTCAACTTCAGAATGAAAGTCCTGTAAAAAATAAAATAAAATAAAATTATATATATAACATTTTACAACTTGTTTGGAAAGATCATCACACTCTTTTGAGTGAAATGGATGAAACATAGAAGTGTTCCTGTGTTTGTGTTTGACTACTATGTGCATGCTTTCTGAGGTGTGCTGATAAATCGGTACCCATCACACTATGTCACTGTCTTTGTTTAGGATTGCAGATGCAGATGATGATGATGATGATATATGAAGGAGATAAAAAAAAACTTTGGTTCACTTCTTAAATGTTTTAAGATGTGGGTGTAATTTGTTTGTTTTATGGAGGTGCCCCGTGATGTTTTTGTTTTGTTTAGTTTTACACCATAGCTGTTGTGAATCACTGCGTCCTAAATKATCAGTTGTGAAATATCTGCATTATAGTTTACCAATTAAAGGGGCAATATCATGTAAATTCAACTTTTTTGAGTTTTATATCATGTTATAATGTTATACTCTCATAAAAAAAACATGCCCAAAGCCTTGCTTTGACTCGTTCATGCATGTTTGAGAAATCCTGCAGCGTTTTTAGGAAGCCATGCTGAGGAGCAAAACGACAGGTGGTGACCAGAAACGCCCCTGGGACGTGTCTTTAAGCTGAACTTCCCCATGGCAGAGCGTACCCCCTCCTCCCCTCCTCCCCACACACCCCGCCCATGACTCCAGCTGGCTCTGGGTGAAATTGAAAGTGAAACTTAAACTGTCTGCTGAGCTCTCAATATTACTTCTCACTCAGTGAAGCTCTTTTAAGATTCAAAATACTTTTGAGGAAATGTTTTTTCAGATGCCAAGTAAACTGCATCATAGCGCACGCGTAACACGCCCCTGTGCACACGAACCCCCACCACAAGTAGGTATTTCTGCGGACCTCCGGCGGGAGGGGCAGAGGTGTAAATAGTCCATGCTGGGGGTGGKTTGGGTCTTTGATGATTGAGGCTGCTCTCCTGTGAACCCTGCAGTGGTAGATGCTCTGCAGAGAGGGCAGTGAAGTCCCCGTGATCTTCTCAGCAGTTTTTACNGTTCCAGCATCAGATCTCATCAGGATCGTCTCCGTGGTCCTGGTCCACCTAACATCTGAGTTTTAGTCCATTCTTCAGGACCAGACATCTGCAGCTCCATCAGGTTGGTGCTGCTTGTGTCCAAATAGTTTTAGATTAAACCAGAGATTCTCAGTTTGACCGAGGTCTGGGCTTAGACGGGTCTATTCCAGGGCCTTTAAATGAGACATATCCTGCTTTTAAATCCTTCTTTCTCACATTTAAACACTTCAGGTGGGGTCTATATAAAGTGGAACTGCAATGACTTGGTCTGAATTCCTCCTTACTCTAACTCTACAAGCCCCTTTCATCCTTTTTCTGATCCCAGATCAACTCGTTGTGAGGCTGTCTCTTTAAATCACTAAATTTAGACAAAACAAATGATATGACATTTATTAACAAAAAAGAATGGTTGATGTTTCATTTAAAGTTGATGGTGTTGACATTTGTAGAGTCAGTGAGGTCAAGTTCTTGGGTGTTATTATTGACAAAAACTTGACTTGGAAGTCTCATATAAATTATTTAAGAACTAAAACAGCAAAATCCATTGCAGTACTATATAAGGTAAAGGATTTATTTAATGATAAAGCGCTGTTTGTACTAATGCAATAATTGTTCCACATTTGATTTATTGTTTTGAAGTCTGGGTAACAGCACGTAAAACATATACAAATTCTATTTTTATTTTGCAAAAAAAGAGACATAAGAATTATAGGCAGAAAACATTATAATCACCCATCAAATATATATTTCATCAATTGAATTTATTAAAATTTTATGAGTTGGTTGATTATAGGATTTTGTTGTTTATGTATAAGGCTCATAAAAACACATCAGCTTTGAATATTCAATCTAATTTCATCAAGAGGAAAAGTACTTATAATCTTTTGAAAGGTTTGCTAAACCTAAAATTTGAATTAATTTGAGCGAGATGTATTTTGATTCAAGGAATAAAGTTGTGGAACAACGTGGCTAGCGATTATAAAAATGCTGGTTCTATTAGGTTATTTGGAAGACTGGTAAAATCTGACTTGTTGGCAAAATATGAAAACATATAATAAGCATTCATATAAGCTGCTGTTTGAATAATTGCAAATCTTTATTTTTCTTTTCTTTTTGCTGATCATTAGGG